ATAATCCCTCCAAAATTTTACAGACAACTCCCGGTGCCAGACAGAAATCAGTGGAAAGAAAAAGAAACGCAACGGATGCCTTCAAAGAAACCCACAGAACCTCTGCAAAGCATGGAGAAGAGTGTGTACAGCCCTCCTCCCCAAGGGGATTTGAATTCATCCCTCAAAGATGCAGCTCCCAGCCACCGATCAGAGCAACACCCTTGGGTGCTGCACGGGCATCTCATAGAATCATTCAGGTTGGAAAATACCTCAAGTCCAACCGTCAACCCAACACCATCATGCCCACTAAACCATGTCCTCAAGTGCCACATCTACACGTTTTTTGAATGCTTCCAGTGATGGTGACTCCACCACCTCCCTGGGCAGCCTGTTCCAATGCTTGACCACTCTTTCAGAAAATAAATTTTTCCTAATATCCAATCTAAACCTCCCCTGGTGCAACTTGAGGCCATTTCCTCTCATCCTATTGCTAGTTACATGGGAGAAGAGACCAACCCCCACCTCACTACAACCTTGTCCAGGGAACCACCCGGCAGCAGCGCACAGGCCAGCAGCAGCATGTTACACCAGCCATGGGGCTGCGCTGGCTCCCTTCACGTTTTGCTCTGAAGATGCTATGAAGAGAGGGAATATTTCTGCAGGGAGAGAGGCGCAGGGCAGAGGTGTAGGAGGATGTGCGTGGCTGCCCGCATGCACTGCTGCACGTCACCAGCAGGCAGCACACATCATGTTGCTGCCTGCACCGCTATGGAGCTACACAGCAAGATCCTCATCTTGTGCCTCTCAAGCAGCACAGGCATTTCTAGTGCTACCTGAACATACTGCTAGTAAGAGGCAATGGTCAGGAGGGGATCTGAAGGAGCAGCTCAAGATAAAAGTTTTCCACAAGATGCTTACCCATCACCTGCCATCTTGCGCCTGCTGAAAGTCTCATTATTTGATTGCAGCATCAGCCCTTCAAAAAAAACTTCCCTGATCTCTTCATCAATCACACCCACCTGTGGAAACAAGGCATTATGATCGGAAAAGCAGTCTCCATCGTGGAGAGGAACAAAGTGATGGGAGTGGTGGCAGGAAGAAGTGGGAGGGGTGGTCTGGTGAGATAGCGCTGCCACCAGACCTCTCCCCTGGAAGGAAACATCTTCAGGGAGTGGTAGGGAGAAGAGCAACTGCTGCTAAGTTTTATTTTACAAATGAACTTCAGCCATCTGCAGAGGTTATCTGCCATTTTGTGTCACTGTCCAAGCACTCTGGCTGATAGTCAAGGGCCTTTGCTGTCCGATTCAGTAAGGGCCAGAAACACATTGTCTGAACACCAACAGGTAGCCCATTTGCTTCAGCTACGTTGAACTACTACGCATGGCTCACACAGAGGAAGCATCCCTTTTCCCCTCAAACTATAGCTGTAAAAACCAAACATGGAAACTTGGCAATTCATGGCCAGTGTTTTTGACTCTGAGAGATCCCATGGTCGACTCTCCCATATACTGGTTGTTGTCATGGCAAGCGGAGGAGGGAAGGAACAACGTAAGAGGCGGTTAGTCCTTGACACACTCCATCCTTGGACTAATAGCAGCTACCCAGCAAAACAATCCCAACAGCAATTATTGAGGCGCTTTTAAAATGGGAAAAGCAAAAACAGATTAAAAAGCCATTTGAAACCTTGAAGCTGAATGCCAAGTGGAAGGGAACGCACAGCAGCCAGGACTGCACACGCTTGGCAAACAATGCGGAGACGCTTCTCTGTAGGCAAAGTTAAATGGACCCCGATTGTCAAACCAGAGCGAGTGGCAAGCCTTGCGAGGCTGTGGGGACAGCACTTGACAGAATGACAATTGGTGCTGCTTTATGCTGAGTGGTTACAACACGGAAAACCTTCCACGGAGGGGCTGAGAAGCAGACCTATGCCCCCCGCCATCACCAGCACAAGGTACCAAAGAGGGGCAAGACGAAAGATGACTTTCAAGCGTAGAATTCAATTACGCCCCAGCCGTGTGAATTACCATTCCACTGGCTGGATTATTTCCTTTCCTTGCTGGAGCCAGCCCAAGGATTTGGAGAGTATCTGCAACCTGGGAATGGAAAACAACTTTTTACTGTTTCAAGAATGGCAGAGTAGTTGTTACTGAGCCAAAGCTTTATTGTTTCCAGTAGTAAAACACTACATAAAAGTTGTAAGGGATAGAGATGAGAACAACAAAGTAATAAAAGAAACACAAACGACCAGAGCAGGCTGGGCACTATTCACTGAGCCCTTCTTGCCCACCCTGAGCCAACTCAAAAGCAGTCAACGGGTACAGGTTTAGGATAACATTCCAACAAAGGCTACAAAACACAACCAAGAGAGATACAACAAAGGGAAAAGTGGTCTTTAATAGAAAATACATGCACAGAGCTGTGGATGTTGTTCTGTCACATTCAAATGTGGCTAGATCATGTTATTCTGGGCTAGATCCTTCTCTCGACCCAAAAGTAGTCTTTCCATAGATGACTCAATAGTTCTGGTTCAAACTCAGGTGGAATTACTCCATGGAGGTAAAACACAGAGGTAAGAAGGAAAGTTTTCCAGTCTCACCAGTACAAGAGCAGTTCCAAATTTATCTCTGAGAGTGTTTTATAAAACCTAGCTTCAGTTAAAAATGAAACTCATGCCTCAAAGTGGCACAGTTAGGACAGCAAGGATTACCAGGTTCCTGTGCAGAGCTGGTAAGCCACAGTGTGGTAAACAGCTCTGGGAAGTGAGAGGGGGGGTGAAAACACGACTGACTTGCCTGCACTGCCCAGGAATGAAGCACAAAAACCACAAGAAGAGTTAGAAATTACATACTCAATTTTAAAAACTCTTTCCAACTCAGTGTAGAGTATTTGATGAGAAAGTAACAGGTTTAAAGGAAATTGAGTCAATTTTTAAGTGTCTTTTTCCTTCTCCTTCTTCTATAGAATTAACTTAGGCTGGCAGGCCAGGCTGTCTGAAGCACTGCAGTAATGACAGTTCGAGCAAGACAGCCTCAGCAGGACTGTCAAAAGCTCCAAGGTAAGACAGGACTTTTTTGGTGGCAAAACACTTCTGAAACTGAAGACCCTGTAGCTCTCAGAAGAAACAGCATGACTTCAGCTCTGAAATCACACCAGCATTTCAGAAAATGTTGATTTTTGGATTTACTTTTTCAGAAACAGCTAATAATTTTGGCATTACTCCTTTCAGAGGTGCAGCTAGTTGAGTCTCAACGGCCAGCTTTAAACAACACAGACCCACGACATAAAGCATCCCTCAGTGGCGAAAAAATCCCATCCTTGCTCTCTTCAACACTGATGTTGTTCACGTTCAGTTGTTTCTCTTTATATCATCTCAAAAAGCCCACATCATCCAAAGGTTTTGTTAAAAGGGCAGAAGCATATCACAGAGGAAGAGCTGGAAGGATTTTCCCAGCAACCTGCCATAGCATGTTAGCTGGAAAAGCAGTAAGGGAATGGTCCTCTGTTAGACCATGTTCATTTAGAAAGAAAGTCAAGGATTGATTTCCAATCTCCTGTTAGAGTGTTCCAACACCCAATCTCATTTATCTTCATACTGCAGCCATTTGTAAAAGCATATACTACATGCGCACAAAGCACCCAGCAGCAAAGAACAGAACAACAGAGTAATAACCAAGGGAAAAGGCCGACATTAACAGGCACAAATTGCCTTTAAATCCATGATTTCAGAGGGAACTTTTTGGAATCCTTTGTTTCTTCAGCAAAAGACAGGTCAGATCCAAAGCATTTAAATAAAATCCACAGACTCCTACTTGACTAGCGTGGGTTTTGTTGAGGCCTTCAAAGATCTAATTGCTCTGGAGATGTCAGGTAATTTGATTTTTCTCATCTGTCAGGCCTTGGAGGGAAATTGTCCATCCCAGAGAGTAAGTGGGACTGGGGCACGCAGCTTTCTACAGCCTGACTCATGATGACACCATCACAGTCAGCCAGATGCTCAAGACTTGCAGCAAAAAGGTAAAACAAAGGCCTCTGCTCATGCAAGAGATGACAAGGTGTGCATGTGGGAGTAGAATCTGCAGAACTTAACAAGATAAAAGTAATTTAAAAGCTGTTATCCAATTTGGGCATGAAAAGGCAGCCAGCTGGGCTGTGGGGCTGTGGGTGTTCTCCCACCAGGAGCTGCAGCACACACTGCCCATGATCCCACCACCAAGGCACCACCCTCACACAGGACACGCAGGCCAGTGCACAGCCAGGAGGACTGAAAAATTCAGAGCAACTTTGAGTGTTTCTTTACTAACTGAAGTGTCTCCCTGAGCAGACAGCCCTATCGCAGAGAGAGACCTCAGTGAAAGTGAACGGGAGCAGAATTTCACCAGCTGATTCAGGATGCCCCCACCAAACTCATACCAACTCAAACCAGAACAACGACAAGAAACACAAGGGGTGACACCCTGGGACCATGGGAGCCCAGTGAAAATTGGAGCCCTGGTCTCAGCCTCGTGGTTCACAGAGGGAAATTCACCCCTGGGCTGAGAAGCAGTAGAAGGGCTGCGGTCTCCTCACACCTCATTTCAGGGACACAGGGGTGAATTTCACTTTGCACCTGAAGACTGTAAAACCAGGACTGCGAGGCCAGGAGCTGAACCCACGACTGCGCTTGGCAAGCCAGGAAGAGCAGAGGTGGCACACATTTCTTCAGCTCCAGTGCACTTTGTGTGCCCCTTTCAGCAAACACAGGTCTGGAGCCCACGGCAGCACCGTACCCCTCTCTGAGCAGCACCCCAAAGTATGTGTCAGTCAGCAGAAAGGGAAATCAGACCAAACCATAAACCAGGTCAGAGAGGCAGGGAGGACAGGCAGGTGCTTTCCCAGGTGCCATCGTGTTGCTAATCCATGTGCAAGAGCCGGCATCATAAAGTCATCACCAGCAGCAGTCGCTGTCTGGAGTGAGGTTTGCAGGAGCGGGCAAGGGGCGAGCGTTGGATCCAGGCAAAGCAGCTCCATCTTCACCTCCGTCAGCAGCGCGTTCTGGTGTGGACGCACCGTCTGCCTTCAAAATACAGAAAGACAAAAGTTTGTTTGGAAAGCAGTGAAGGGGAGAGATTTGACAAAGTTATTTTGCATGCTCAGTGCCATTTTAAGAGCTTCCTAAAAATAATAATGAAGAGAACATCTATGCATCATTACTCCACACTCTGTCAGCAGTCAGGGCCCATTAAACTTTATTAAAGAAAGAAAAGACAGGGCAAAGAAATAG